TAAATAAATGACTTTTCATCATGTTATGAAAACAATCATTTATACAAAATAATTTTATTTAAAATCTACTAAATACGCTAAACTGAGTGGCGATCGAGTTACCATGACAAGCGCAAATACTAACAAAATGAGAACTGAATCCATAGTTTAGATTTAACAGTAACTTTTGTAACAAAACCTTTGGTATCGATGACTCTATAGTAAATAGTTAGTAGGTAACCGACAAACCTAGCAATAAAATTCCCACGGGTTATGGACAAAAATTGTCAGCCTTCGACCCTCGAACGGACCAATGTAATGACGGCTGGGTCCTTGAGACGAGCTACTATCCCTTCCGACAATGCCAAGGCCTGGTCAATGCTTCCATCCTCCGAGATCCTATGCAACGATGAACGAGGACGTGATATGAGGCTATTGTGAACATAGTGTATCCTCGAGTGAAAAGGCGGACCACCAACTGGGCACGAAGGAACGATAAACCGGACATCCTTAACACTTAAACATCCAGCGTTGAATGTATAGATACTAAATTCAATTCTATAGAACATTAATATGTGTAATATACAGGGTGAGCCAATGGGAACTATTCTCTAATATAATTCATTACCTATTGGTTGTATCCAAAAACATTTTAAATGATTTACGTTGCATTTGAAGGGACTCGTCAGTGGAATGTAATTTGATCTTTGTTTACTTTATACAGGATATCCCACATAACGTGAGCACCTTAAATATTTCATTGATTTTCAAAAAAGTTATTTTAACAAATGCTCAAAGTGATGTCCATGAACTTTCACACATTTTTGCACTGATCCCTCTACCAAGGTTGCTTTATTACGTAAATCAACTTCCTTACATTTGTGGATTTTTCGTACTGAAGGTCAAATGAAGGTCACACTACTGTAGATCATTGGACATTTGGTCTTGGCTTCGTGTTACGCCACGATGATAAAAGTACGTAGTTCCATTTAAAAAAAAAAACAACGATGACCTAGAAAATTCGAAAAATATGACCTTAAGAAACATTTATTGTTTGTCACAATACTTGTCCCTTCCAACCAAATAGTCTTGAACCCTCACATTTTTTTTGGATCTTCGAAAACAAGTGAAATATTGAAGGCGCTCACGTTAGGTGGGACACCCCGTATTTCAGGGATGGGCAAGGTCTTCAACAATAACAGCCGCATATAATACTTTCCATACATTTTTGAATGTTCAGCAGCTACAAAAATTAAATATTCTAATACTGGTCATACTATACTACTATCGATTATTAATATAAAATTTTAGGAAATATAGCAATGAAACCCGTTATTGTCTCGGGAGCCACGCAGAGTAGTTTATTTCTAAGTATATTTCTAAAATATCGTGGTAACCTTGAGTTGTTTCAAGATCTGAGTTAGGTTAGGATAAAAAAAAATTATCAGAATACAAATTTAATCATGCTCTACAAAGCAGTACAACGAACATATTAAAAATTTGTTTTTCAACTAAATAAATAGATAAACAAATTCTCGACAATTTCATTGCACAATTTTACGGAGCATAAAAATCCAACAAATTTTCATTCCAACAATTTTCTTATAAGTACTATAGTTTTCAAGACACAAGAAAATAGGAAAACCCACATTAAAACCCCTTTCCCTTTCAGCGGCCGGAAGAAAAGTTGACACTTAAGAAGTTTTTAAAAAAAAAAACAACGATGATTTTTGGTGAAAAGTAATTTTTATACAAAAATTTCCTAGCCTCTATTTATTATAATTCAGGTAAACAAAACAAAATTTGTATCGTTATTCCTGCATTGTAGGTGGCGCTAATCGCGCTGACTCGAAATTGCACTGTATACAAACGGTGCCCCCCAGAATGCTAAAAATTCTTGTAGCATTCTTTATGTAAGTGAATCAGCTACCGTGTGATCTACTATTGAAAATTTTGAAACATAAATTCTTTTGCTATTCACAAAAATATACGTAAAATTTCCTCCTTTTTTTGCATGCCTTTGTTAAAACTCATACCAAATTACTTTTTCAACTTCACGATGAGTCGTATGATAGACGTCGGACAAACATTCAATAATCTTTTTGAAATTTTGAGATCGAGCCACTCCACAACAAGATACCATGGGCACCGTTTGTACAGTTCAATTTTGGATCAACACGATTAGCACCACCTACAATTTGCCACGCTGCACAAATATCAAAACAAAACTTTTTTTCATTTACTTGAATGCATCATAAATAAAGGCCAAGAAGTTTCTTTATCAAATCTTCTTTGCATTTTTAAAAAAAAATCCTAAATATCACCTTTTTTTCGGGCCACTAAAGGGAAAAGGGGCCTTAATCTTCACGGACTGTAGCCAAGAAATGACATTGCCTGATACGTTTATCGAGGACTCTAGATTCAACAGAGATTCAACAAAAAAAAACAAATAAATTTTCAGGTTACCAAAGTTGCATATTTTAGTTTTATTTACTGGAATACATCATAAATAAAGGCCAAGAAGTTTTTTACCATATCATCTTTCCATTTTTTAAAAAAATTTATAAATATCACATTTTTTTCTGGCTGCTAAAGGGAAAAGGGGCCTTAATCTTTACGGGGCGTAGCCAAGAAGTGACATTGCCCGATACGTCTATCGAGGATTCTAGATAAACCCAGCAGAGTTTAAAAAAAAAAAAATCAGAATTTTCGGGTTACCAAAGTTCTCTTGCAAGCAGGATATCCGGTTAGTTGCATATTTTCTGCAAGCAAGTCTATACAGAGTGGATGGGTCTCGTGTGGGACGTGCGCAAGGTCTCGGTATCGTGGTCCTCCGCCTCCTTTGGTCAGCCGCTGCACAGTCAAGGCCAGCGTTGACCTTCTGCACGCTATGCGCCGGGCGAACGGGGAACGAAGCACGCTGCTTTCTCGAGGATCATCGTGCGTCGGTTGTACTGTACCCCGAGACATGGTAGTCCATTAAGGTCAGGACGCATCCCGTTCGAACCATCATCACAAATCATAGGTTTAATGGAACGATAAATTTATATTCATGCAGCGTGCCGTTTGGTGGCCACCAACCCTCTGGTTCCGAATGTGTTTAAATCGCGACCATAAGCTATGGGCTTTTGGGATCAGAAACCCAGCGGGACGGGTAAGAGCCAGGGATCAAAAATAACAGTTATTCGAACAATTTTTGGAAAAAAATCATTGAGCAAAAAGTAATTTTTATTTAAATGAAAACCAGATATTAATGAATCTCGAAAAAATTTAAAAAAAATTACGTTATTAAAAAACATGGATTTTTAACTATTCTGGTTACGAATAATTATTATAGATGATAAAAATTTTTGTTGGTTACCAATAACAATTATCGATGACGGAAATTTTGTTTATTTGCGAATAACCATTATTGACTACGAAAATGATATTGGTTATGAATAACCATTATCAATGACGGAAATTGTTTTTGGTTGCACGTAAGCATTATCGATGACGAAAATTTGATTTTGGTTACCGATAACCATTATTGATGACAGGAATTTTTTTTTTATCACGCGGTAACCAATTTACATGACGAGAGTTTTATTTTGTCTACTTTCGACCATTGTCAGTTTTTATTAGCCCTTGTGCACTGTTCGGATTAATATAACCGGAAGCAAATGTTTGATTGTTATTATATTTTTTATTATAGAAATTTGTAAATTAATTTGGACCAATAACTTACATATATTATAATCTAACAATAGGAAAATGTATTTCCTTAAACCAATTTTAATTTAGACTGAACTTAATTTAAGGAATATTAGTGCAATAATATATTGAACAATGCACGAGGGTGAAGAAGTACTTAGTCATATCAACTTATATTCGTGAAAAACTTACATAAAATCGATGTTCTCAGTTAAAAGACGATTCAATAGATTGAATGTAAGCTTTATAATAAAGTCGAGTGAAATAGGCCGTCGCATTATAACTTCGTCCTCGACCCTTACGCTCTAGTTCAAAATAATACTACATGGTCACAGCAATTTTAAAACTGGAAGGATGTTGCGAGAATATCTGTTCTAAAATTATTTCAAAGAAACAGGCTGAAATTAGTAAGTGTCAATTGTGACGATTAATACCAACTTACAAAAGACATCACTCAAGTAGAACACGCCGATTTTGATACTGTCTGGTACGGAGATAGTATTTTGAAAAATATTTGACACATATTTTTTTGTAGCTACTGATATTCATATCTAGATAGTGAAAACAGCCCTCAACGTCGTAGGTGAAACATACATTTTCCTTAATATGTTCATTATTATTCTTAATATTTCTGAAACTGTTCGATTTAGTAAAGATATTTGTTAACAAAAATTGTGTGCTTTTTATTAATAAAAATAATTACTTAAGTAATTTTTCGGAATACCAATTTGTTTAAACAATTATTTTTTATTTTTTAGTATTCCGATAAACTACTTAAGCAGTTATTTGTATTATTAAAAAACTCAAACTTTTTGTTAACGAATATAGTTTCTAAATCGAATAGTTTGTAAAATATTAAGGAAAATGTATTTTTCATCCACGACTTTGAGGGCTGTTTCAACCGCCTAGACGCGAATGTCAGCAGCCGTAAAAAAATACATGTCACATATTTTTCAAAATATGTAGTACCTAATGGTATTATTTTCATATAATACGTGTCTTCAATAACACGTGTCTACTATTTCTTAAAAGAATATCTAACGGTAATATTTTTCAAAATAGTATCTAGCGGCTGTACCAATTTTGATCCTTGTTAATATCAACAAATATTTAAGTAATACGTACGTAAGTTACAAATATTGAATATTATTAATTATAATACTTAAACATTAGATATTAATAGTTATTAGCAACCACTTTGAGTTACGTTTGTTAACTTAGGTACATCCTTTACAATTCAACCCACTTTGGCCAAAAGTGACACTAAACCAAAGTGAATAAATTTGTAAATATGAACATTTAACGAGGAATATTTATTCTGTTCACAGATGGCCAGCATAGAAGTTTCTTTATCGACAACGCCGAGACGCAAAAAGGGTGGAAGCGTTTCTGGTGGAATCGCATCACCTGCTGGACATCGGAACAAGGATCATTACAAGGAATTGGATGCCCTTCGAGTTGCATTACGTGACAAGGAAAATATTATTCAAACGTAAAGAATTCAGTTGTTTTCTTTAAATTACAATATGTAATATAGGGTGGACCACGAAACGTGATCAGCATAGATTATTCTACTGCTAACTATTCGATCGAAAATTTTGTTGGCTTGTATAACATGACTCAAGGAGACCTTTAAGATGATTGTAGCAAATGTTTCGTCAACACTTCTTTCCAAAGTTTTTTTTATAGAAGAACTTATACTTTTTTTACGCCCATCTTTTAACGGTTACTCAGACGAATTCGGCAAGCATCATAACAAATACTTTTTATCTTCTAAACAAACGAAACATTAAGAAAATATCATTTACCTTAATTAAAACGAAGTTCAAAATGGTGTCTAACTGTTTAGTTCTATTTATGACGCCTGCACTGATGGTTAAGCATGCAAAAAATTTTTAAAAAATGTTTCGGTCGAACAGCTAGCAATAGAATAATCTAAGCTGATCATGTTCCGCGGTTCACCCTGTATAATGTCGAATCACATTAAATCAGATCACTTAACACCAGAAGAATCAAACCCATCGAAATGATGAATTTCAAATTTATTATTTTACAATTACATGTGCTAGTCATGTGTTATCTGGGCTGTCCAGTTTTCCATCTTACCACCAGAGGGTCAAAATTTAAGTCACGTCTCCACCGACTTTTCCAATAGGACAGAAATAATTTTTTATTAACCTTAATTCAAATTATAAATAATAAATTTCTTATCCTCGATAATTATTTAGACTAAAAGGACAACTATGCAACACCCTAACCAACCGACTGGCCTTGCGCAACGGTGCACCACCTTTGACCGAGGCGGACAGGAAAGCCACCGAGGAACGACTTCAGAGGTTACGCCGCGATGCGGACAATAAGCGGCTGGCGATTAAGAATTTAAAACTCGCGCTCGAACGCCTCGACATTACTGAGTAAGTAGCAAGAATTTCAAACAAAAATAACAGAATTTCGTAGACAAATCGTCGCTCTGGCTCTCAAGTGTTTTATCTCCACTAGTTTCTAAATCGAGAAAAAAAGTTTAATATCAGGGACCAAAAATAATAGTTATTTATATCTTTTAATTGTTAATTTATTATTCTGATGTGAGTACCTTTTTCCTGTGTGGACGTGTAGAGGTCATATGAAAGTCCACTTTTTTTTTTAAATGGAATCATATATTTTTTAATATACTGTTTTATGCCCAGATAGCACATGACGGTCCTTAGACCTAAAATAGCCGTAAAACGAACGTCTTCAAGACGTCATTTGCTATGTGAGTGCTACTCATTATTTCCTAGATAAAGTACGAAGTCTTTTGTCTCGAATTAGTGTATTCAAAAATACACGATTCTATTTGAAAAAACAAAGTTGACTTTCATATGACCTCTACGCGTCCACATAGACAAAAACTAATTACATCAGAAAGTGTGCCCTCTGGCACCATATAACTTTTCCCTGAAACATTTTTTAATATCAAGAGTTTCGGAGATATTTGAGTAGATCCATTTAAATGGGACACCCTGTATGTTGTATGATATTTATACGAATATACATTCTATTTATAAAAAAGTAATAACTATTAAGTTTTAACTTTTTAATTTTGTTTGTAAAGTAATAAACTATTACCGTTAAAGTAGCAGATGTTACAATTTTGGAAACTATTGCAAGTAATCTACAAAGTAATTGGCGACAAATTGTACGATGTTGCTCTGATTTAAACACATGTTTTGATATTCAGAAGTCATTTCAACTTCAGTCCACTACAAGGTCGCATTATAAAAAACAGAATGTAATATGCAAAAATATGTCGATGACCTTCAAATGACCTTTTTGTCATCACCAGTCTTGAAATCATATTAACTCTTCTCAGCCACTTTTTTGTTACTTTCAGTATCAGTGGAAGTAATTTCATTATAATGTGAGACATCCTGTATGCGTATAAATATTGAAGTGTAACGAAAAGACGATCGTAATCAACTTTTGTCAGTGCTGAGAAACATGAGGATAGTCGAGCATTGCAACAAAAGTGATTACTTGGAAAGCGTGAGAAAACTCTCGACGTATTGTCCTTACATATTTCCTGTCTTGCGCAGTAAAATAAATTATTATTTTCGATTCCAGTAACATCGAGTGAAACAGAATCTTACGTGCACATGAATAATCAGACTTGAATCTAGAAAGTTGTGGAATACCTTAATTATATAGCCAAATATCGTGGGAAAAGTACAATACTGCATGAGTGAAAGAAACCGCTGAAAAGTGTACAGATGATAAACTTTGCTAATATTTATTCTATTCATTTTGTTTAAACTTTAATAAAATTTATCTGTTTTGTCGTGGAATATTAAGACAGAATTAGATTGACAGTGTGACGACCGGCTAATTTCGCGAGTAACTTTCACCAGTGGCCAGCTGTTTTTGTCAAGAATTAACAAAATATGGTTCTTGCTATGTGTGTAAAAAAATTCAATATCTTTGAATGTGTGAAAAATCCCAGTTGGGACTTACATGACGCCACTGTGGCGCAATAAGGGGTCTAGCGCTCGAAAATGCGAGAAATGATTGTCCAAACGCTAAAAAACATTGGGAAATTAAATGTTGTTAAACTGGATTTTAAAAAAAAAAGTGTTATAAAGTTCATCAATCACACATTTTTTCTATTCACAGTTTTTATATTCAATCTTTAATATTGGAAATAAAAATTATAAACAAAACATTTTTCTTCGTCCGAAGTCAATATTTTTTTAAACATAAATTGTGATAACTTGAATAAATATTAACGAATCGTTATGGGATTTAAAAAATAACTTCAGGAAACTCTAGCGAAGCCGTAAAGTATATGCACAAAACTCTTATGTTAAAAAATCTAATAATATTTAATTACAAAGTAATACTGGGCAAAACTCATGTTTTTCAACATTCGCTGATAGAAAGTATCGAGGTAATTTCGAGGTACTTTTATTTTGCAGCGAAAAAATGTTTCCTTAATATTCAAGGAAGATTTTCACAAGTTTGCACACTGTTCAATAAATAATTGTAGAAGATATGGCGATATGTATATGAATCTCTCGCGGCACCAACAATTTTGCAGGCACAGCAGAACAATTTTTGGTTTATAATTTTTATCTCGAATAGTAATGATTGGATAAAATAACTTTAATTTACAAAAATGTGTGCTGTGACGTACTCTACAACACTATATTTTTTAAGATCCAGTTTAACAACATTTAATTTTGCAATCTTGATTAGCGTTTGTACCTTCAAGTGAGGGACTCGTCGAATGGCTACCGAAACATCAAAAGTGATGCTGAACAGTACATACATATACTCATAACATCGAATGGAATGTAAAACTTTTCTTGTTTATATGTTCCAAGTGTAAAATTCAGATTATATAAAATAACTTTTGTTAGTATGGATTAAAGCAAGAACAGATTTATCATAAACCTTAACTTTTGAAAACGGTTTGTGTTATATGAAGTACGCTATTACTGGTGATTCATTTGAAAATTACTAGAATTATTGTTATTGCAAATGCTAGAATAACATTATTTAGATACTCCAAACACAATGGAATATTTTTAAAAATAATAAATTCGTTATAAACAATATGAGAAAACGATTAAAATTACTAGTAATTAATTTCAGAATTATTAGAATTATTAATATAATAATTGCAATATCTTAGAATAACATTATTTAGATACTCTGAATACAACGAAATATTATCAATTTATTGTAAATAATATAGAATATAGTAGTCGAGAGAAAATTGTAATGGAGAACAGTTTCAGATATAATCCCATATGGTCTAGTGGCTAGGATACCTGGCTTTCACCCAGGAGGCTCGGGTTCGATTCCCGGTATGGGAAATATTTTTTTTTCTCGAAACAATTAATTTTTACATTCATTCTATGTAAAAATATTAAATTATAGAAATGTTATTAAAAATCATTCAATTACAAAATTGTTTTATGCAATTTATTGTATGTTTCAGCAATATCGATGTTCGAATTCAGCAAGCAGAGTTGGAGTATAGACTTGGTCGGGAAGAACTCGAACTTCTGACTCTTCGTGAAGAAAGTCGAGCTCTTCAAGCTGCTCTAGAGTTGGCGGAGACTCATGAGAAACAAAAAAATGACACGATATTCAGGTACTACATAATTCGTACATTAATAATAACGATCTAATAATGGTCTATTTTTCTTACGTACAAGAGTCTTAAACTCAAAGTATAATAATAATTTATTATACAAGAATAAATAGCAAAAACATAGGAGTATTTGTAAAAATTGTATTTCAATTGGATAAATTTTAAAAATTGGTTTGAGGTTGATACACTTATCCAAGAAAGTCTAATTTCATACGGTATAACTTGTACTCTAAACTAGAGCAATATTTTTATCAGTATTTTCAAAATTATTTATTGTGCTTGCTTTATAACCCAACTTTAAGTAAAGATGTTAATAAAAATAAATAATAAAGTATTTTCTATACGTGAATAGTATTTATTACATTTATTCCATTTGATCCTATACTTATTCACCATGAATGTTATAATATTATGATAATAGATTAATATAATATTATAGTATTATTATGCAAATATCATTATTAATACCACGTTTATTAATAGATGTACAGTCACTACTTGGACTAGTTTTACAGTTCACTCAATTTGAAGTAGTCGAAAACTTCTGAGATATAATGATTTTCATAATTTCTATTTCTTTCTGTGCAGTTGTATTACTGGTTCTACACAAGTCACGGTCCATGCAGTGGAGGTTACTGCAGATCCAAAAAGTCCTCGTTTTGGTGCGGGACCGAGGGGAGACACTCCTGGCCTCTACGTCGATTGGGCAGTCGACGATTCCGGGCTGTGCAAGGGAGACAGGTTCGAATATATTCCTATATTGCATAAAAATATTCCATTGCATCTCACGATCGTTATACGATACGTATTATAAACAATCACGTTTAAATACAGCAATATAACATTTATGACCCGACAATGATTTATATAAAACTTAATTTTTTTTATATATCGAATGAGTGCAAAAGTTCTGATAGGTTTCTGCAAATAATATGATCATTATGGTTTTGTGGGAATAATAAAAAATGATGTAAATATATTAGGTGTCGATGTTAATATAACACAGTGAATTATGGTTTAGAACAAAAATTGACGCGATTTAGTGTGTTTTATTGTTTGAGATAAAATTGAAATTGAACCTTCGGAAACAAATTTTTAATTAGAACGAAAAACGTTAGTAACATCGTAAAAAACACTTATGATCCGTTTAGAGAAGATATTATGCCAATCTTATTCTGTGGTAATCTGTAAATTTATTAATATAATTTAATTATATAATATTCCAAAAATTTATTCGAATAAAAGTTGCTATTGAAAATGCATATGTAATAAAACAATTATTATGGATTTCATTAAATTACTATTAAAGTATAATTAAAATTATTATTGGTATACACTTTTCGATGAAATCCTATCAGAACTTTTGAACTGACCCAATATATAGCATTATAGAGCATTCTATGTCAAATTCAGGAAGCTATACTTCCGCGACTTTCAAATAATCTTGACCATGGAAAACTACATTTCCCTTACCTTCAATATTTTTTCCAAAGTAGAAGGCATTGATTTCCCAAAAAAGTCATGACGTAATTACCAAAATAAGTATTTGGGTAAACGCGCCAATGAATGAACACTTTAGAGATTTGGCGACTATTAAAGTCGAATTTCAAATGATAATAATAGTAGTAAATATCTACCACATGAAAATTACATTTTTTAATATCTATACCTTTTTATAACGTACTTCGATTTCACTTTGAAAAATCGGAAAAATGTAGTTAATTAAAAGCAAAGAATACAGATTTCACCAGTGAATGAACAATATTAAGTAAATGCACGTTGCTAACCAATAGCACGAAAATTACTTGAATATAAAACAAGGAATTAAAAAAAAGGTATTAATCGTTAGTTTCTTTTAGTAACTTAATTTACTCGTTTTTATATAATGTTCATTCACTGGTGCATCCATCCTATATCACTTAAAAACAGCATAGGATCTATGACATCTTAGTGATTTTCATCTGTGTCTGTAACAATCCTTACTCCTTAACCTCTCATATTATTACACTCACAAAATACTGTACGACGTTTGTACAGAATCAGAGTTGGGCAGAATTTTATTCGAATAATACACAGTGAAAAGCAGCAGTATCTAAGGGTGTCGTCCTGAACTTAAAACAGTTAATGAGATTAAATAGTTGTTCAACAAATGTCGATTCATTCATAAAGAAGTACTATTTTATTATAAAAATTGCAATTTCCACGTTTAAACAATTAAAAATGACGAAATACTTCCTTTATCTTTTATTCGTTATTCGAAACTTTTTATCTAGATAATGAGTTTGCCTATCTCTGTACAGAATACAATTATCATGTAACAGAATAGCAAATTGCGTTGTCTTTCCTACGGAAAATGTGCAAATAATTGTTTGCCATACTCCGCCTGGGTTCTTTTATTACCCACGCCTCGAAACGTTGGACGACTCATAATGAATCTCAGCAGTATTTGTCCGTGAAAGAGTAAAATAACAGGAGAAGAAAGGGAAAGAAGAGAAAGATAGTAGTTGGGACATTGACGAAAAAGAAAATACACACACTTGCGTGTATACAGAGAATATAACTGACAGAAGAGAAGAAAGATATTATCCAAGAAGAGTGAAGCGATCACAAAGTGTCTGTAGCATTGTGTCGGTACACTATACAGGGTGATACATAAATGCATGTCAATACTTTAGAGGGCAAGTCTACAGACTGATATAAGTAAACAATGTCATGTGAACGTATGTCTTCGGCCGATTTCCCGCGGGAACGTTGGCTACCAATCGCAGCGAGTAGCCAACGTTACCGCGGGAACTCGGCCGGTAGACTCGCACTCTGATTGGTCGGGGTTTTTCGTTAATATCTCGTTAACAAAGCCTCGGATAACATTTTCGATAAGGAAAAACTTGTTCCAAATCGCCTCACGAGTATCCCATTTCAGGGACCTGCAACATTTTTGTTACACCCTGTATACCTCAGTTTTTGAGTTATGGATGATTAAAGAAAACGTTCGAAGTGCCCACCTCGTGTCTCAACAAACACTATTGCACGCCGTAATATATTCCGCACTCGCTCGAAAATACCAAGTATTCTTCGAATAGTCTCAAATCCATTTGATGTCCTTTCTTGCAGAACGTGCACAGTATTCACTTGCGTGGAATGTACAATAGTTTTTAAATGGTCCCAAAAGTAAAAGTCTAATGGGTTGAAGACGTGTACTTCGAACAGTTTCTTTAATCATCCATCACTCAACAACTAAGGTATATAGGACCATGAGCGTAGCCAGGTTATCAGTCAGGATGAGGCAAAAATATTAACACATCGACTGCCATAGTGAAAAAGGTTGTACGTAGCCAGACACACTTTATTTTGTTTTTGAAGTTATAAATCGTTGAAAATGTATGCGTTTTGTTAATAGAGGCTGTTGGTCGTGTTTCAAATTATACTGCAATATTAACTATTACGAAAAAATTGTGTAACTCTGGAAAGGGAGGCGAAGGGAGGGGCAAAATCCAATGTTTTCTTGTAGAATTGGTAAAAGCCACTTTTTCCCCCATGCATATGTCCAAATGACGTTTTTTACTTATATTAGTGTGTAGATTTACCCCTTGAAGTATTGACATGTATTTATGAATCACCCTGTATAATCGAGCTATCGGTGGTAGAACAATACTGCAATCTTGGCATTTGGTTCCCAACAGGGCACCGTAGCGTGAAGCAGCCACCGGAAGTTCGCCGTGTACCCCCGCTAATTGCAGCTGCGACTTCACATGACCCTAGTCTTCCATTCTCCTACCCAATTCCACGTGTTGCCCTTCGCAGGAATTCGTTAAAATTTAACGCACCTGCGTGACTGGGGCCATTTTACCGTTCAAAAATCGAAACCTGTTACAAACACAGGGAAATATTCACCCCATTTTGGTCAAAGCATTGTTCTTACAACTGTTATTTTGGTCGAAACAATTCCCTCAAAATTCACTACAATCATCAGAAATTTATACTTTTTATATTAAACAGATCACGTATTTGCATACAACTCAACCAAAAGAGAGGCTAGAGTATCTTTTTCTCAGGACGTTGAAGTTTTTTAGACTTCGATGTCCCTTAGGATGTTATGTATGAAAGAAAACGAGTGAACATTTGATACTTTTGTAATTTTGACAGATTAATCATTTTTATCATACATATATCTCTGTAAATTTAAATATTTTCATTAGCAATAAGTATGTTTCAAGTTGTACAGTCGAACAATCTACGTTCTGTTAAAAAATATGTACAGATTTTTACATGCTTGACTTTAAAATGTTTAATAATTTTCTGACAACGATTGCATTAATTAAGTACATTAATTAGAATGTTGGTATCCACAATAATGTACGTATAATAAAACTGTAATGTACAAAATTGTATGTACTTTAACTGTAAGTCAGTCTTGGTTATAAAAAATGGGTGAATATACAATGGATGAAATAAGTATTTGTACATTTACATCTTTTATAATAATAATGAAATATATGGCACTAAAGATTAGTAAGATTATATAGGGTACTACAAATTTTTAGCAAAATTCCTTGTAACAAGTAGGTGTAAAAATTCCTTTTAACAAATAAATGTTTTAATTGTATACAGCTTTAAATCTTTCTCCAAAGTTACCAAAATCTCCCCAAAGAATTCGTTTATGTCAATTTATATTAGATGTTCCAGTAACTAGTCCACCATTTCTTGTTGTTTTTTCTTTTTGTAAAAATTCAAAAACCGGTTTTTTCAAAAGTCAGTTTTATATAAACCCTAATTGGTACACTTAATCTTAGAGGGGTAATATATCAGAAATGCAATGTTTTTTCTCAACTTTACTCGATTTTTTTTTAACAGCTATCATAATCATTATAATTCAACGTAGATAGTTTATTAGAGAATCAATGTCTTTTTCCCGATTATTTTCCATATTTTGGAAAAAGTATATTAGAAACATACATGTTTTTTCTGTTAACATTCTTCGTTTTAACCGACCTAAAAGGAAGAAACTTTCGCTATTTATTTTAATTTCCCACAAGCAAGCGTAGTTGCACTCGTTGCACACAGATGTATCAATCAAGATTCTTTTCAGGATTCTGGAAGTGAATGGAAAGCTCGTGGTGGGAGCCGGAAGGAGCGATTTGGCGAGGCTCCTGGCGGTCGCGCCTGACGCTGCGCAAATCGTGGTCCTTCGAAAAGGTGAATCCCTCGCAGCGCTCCGCACACTTCGATCAGATAACCTCAGGCTGACTCACAGAATCGGATATCTCGAGGAACAGGTTAGGGATCTTTTGGCACCAAGCAGAGCCGAGGTTCCCGCGGATCCTCCGCCAACTCGCCATGAACAAGTTCAGGTAAATGGATGAAACTGATACATTACACTTGAAACAATGAAAACTGGTGTTAAGCACGTGGGCGTGGCCAGATTATCAGTTTGGGGCAGGCTTGGATTACGATTTTTGGGGCCCGGGACTATCAAACCTTCAAACTATCAAACCTTCGTGGCTCCTAAAAAAGAAAGGGGTGGTAACAAATGTTCGCAATAAAACTAAAATTAAATAACATTTAAACATAACGAAATGGGAGGCTTAGAACGGGGCCCCCTAAAAAGTAGGGCCTGGCCCTCCTAGCTTCCCCCCCCCCTCGTTTGCCTCCATGGCTACACCCATGGTTAAGCAATAATAGCAGAAATATCTTACTATTATTGGGGAAAGTTGCCCAAATCAAACCACTTTTAACAGAACTCAATATAAAATCATTAGAGTTTATGGTAATGTTTAAACAATTCTATCCTTATACAGGGTGATTCACGAGACACAGAACATCTAAATATCTCTGTTAGGATTGTATCATTTCAGAAGATCAGGACTTTGAACATTTAATTTGTAAAAATCTGAATAAAGTTATTTTCTATATTACATATTGTTTAATTTGATCCAACCCAGGTTTCTGAATCCGTGGTCATTTCAAGGTCATAGTATCCTATATCGTGAAACATATCTTGACATCAGCTACAATGATGCGGAGTTAAAACTATATGGTGCTATTTAAAAAAATATCAATATCCTTAAAATAACCTTGAAGATAGGATGAAACAAAAAGTTTGTTTATATCGACATATTTTTCCCCTTGAACGAACAGTACTACTTTCGTCTTTAACATTTTCTCTTATCTTCAATCCTAACCGAGATATTTAGGTGTTCTGTTTCTTGGGGATCACCCTTGTAAGAAGATAAAGAGGGGTGAGTTATTTAAATCGATCCCCTCAAATATCTTCGAAACCGTTGATGTTACCGAAAAATGTTTCCGATAAGAGTTGAATGTTTTCGAGGGGAAAAATGATTTGATGTGAGTAGTTTTTTTTTAACTAAAATCGAATGCATATTTTGTAATACATTTGTCGATGCAACTCATTATTCCCCATGAAAAAGTATTAAGCTATTTATACCGAAAAGCCGTTAGTTTAAGAGATATTTTCATTTCAAAATTGCGAAGTGGTACTAGTAGTTCGATCTTTACCTTCTTGAAGCTGATGTTCAAAATATGATGTTAGGTGTCGCGCATAGTACCACGCGTAATTTCGTTTTATTCGTGAATTCTTCAGATGAACCAATTTAATTCAATATTCATTGCATGGTAAGAAGATACATTCAAAGTTATTGAAATGTTATTCAAAAATTGTATGTAACAATATATCTACTACTACAGTTAAAGACAATTTTTAAACAATTGTATGTTAGAATGTAATTACAATAAATGTCTGTTTCAAACTGATTTTTCACTCATTGTTTAGGTTTTTCAGAAGGGACCACAAGTGACTGCATTAGTGGCAAACCTTCCTGGTCTGAACGTGAGGAATTCAATGGAGCTGCGACAAAGTTTGCCCACAGTAAGAAGCAGGCACAGCGAGCAACCGAAGCGGTTAATGGACCCAAAGAGTTTGAAGGATATCGATTTATCAGACGGTGTTTCGAATAACCAGAATAAATCGAGACACAGGCCGAAGCAACAAGGATTTCAACTGACCGGGTCAACAGCGAGCCTGGATTGCAAACAAACGCCAATACAGTCTCAACTGCAGCGCAGAAGACCGCCACGTGTCGAGTCATCTATGGAACATTTATCGAAGAATCGCAGAAATTCGTCGCAAACGCAGTCTTTGGACTTCGATTCTGAGCCAACCTATTATCGGTTTCACGTACGTAATTTGAAACTAAATAAAAGAACTTCCATGCTGTACAGCAATAACACTTACATAATGTATTTAACACATTGCATCTGGTAGTATATTGTGTATCACGGTTTTTTATTTAAATATTAAACATTTGCATCCACTTAAAAATTTTTTATTTTACTTTGTAAAAATAATTATCAAAGTAATTAAAAAATGAGTATAGTGTGACCAACCAGGTCTGATCTCATTGTCAGTAGGGCACATTGCTACTAGAGAAAGCCTAGAATTGGGATGCAATCTTTTTTGACGAAAACTAGCGCAAAATGTAGGGTCCAATGTCTATAAACAAAGCCCAGAATATTAGTTTCTAACGCTTCATCATTGTTTTAAAAAGTAATATCAAAGGTGAAACATTTCAAAGAATCTTTTGAACGCCATTACACAGCAACTATGTTCTCAAGTTTTCTAATAATTGCGGTTGGATCATGGATCTAGTACTGGGGACTAGGAATACTTTTTAATTTTTCTGTATATATTTTTTCCTTTCATCAATTGTAAAATACCTCTGGAATTATAGTAGGAGTATCATTCAATACTGTTCGCAATCGATACCATACAGTGTGCGTTGGAGGATGGATGCCCAATTTCCGGGAATTTCAGTTGACCAATCCGCACGTTATTGATACCAAATTGATTAACCCATTGTGTACAGTGAACTCCTACGCGCGTTCAGCGTATACTGTCCGCATAGCTAATGGACGGATATATACGTTTGATGCAAAGTATCAACGTAGTCGCTGAATTTGCATACATATGGTGTTCGGATGAAAAGAATTGACGTTGTTCATACGTTCATGTATACATATACATACCTATTAAGGAAATCCTTAGCCTATGCTTCCAAACTGAAATAAAAATCATAGCTGTTTTTTAATGAATTTAATGGATATTATGACACTTCTTACTACCCCAGTAGAAGAGCATTTGGCTATTTGAAGCGCTCCGTCTAAAAAGCATTCCCAGATACCAATTTGCGTGCAGATTGACAGCAGATAGTTACGAAATCTGTCTACAAATCCATACCCATTTTCATTTCTGCATTTGGCTTGAACTATTGACAGAATCGTGAAGCAGATTGGCGGCATATCCTGCTACACAACCTAAGTCAATTTATAACCTAGGTTATGTTGCAGGATCTACCGCCAATCTGACGTCAATCTACGCGCAAATTGTTTGTAGCAGATCCTGCATCAAATTTTTAGCCATTCTGGTTACATAGACTGACTGGGAAATTTAAATCTACATAAATACTAATAATCATTTATTTACTCATTTCTGCTTAAATAACGAGAATTAGGACAAATTTAACAAAGAAACCTAAAAGAGGAAATTATTTTCATTTTAATATTTCAATCAAAGTAAAACTTGAGACTGAATTGTGTAGTCTTTTCGTAATAAACTTGTATATTCGTTGACAATATTTATGTAATTTTGTGAAACTTCATTGTATTTCAGGATACACAGTCCCGTGCATCGGAGAATTCCGACGCATCAGTGATGTACAGTTCGCAAGAAACGAAATCCCGTCCAGCACCACCGAAGAAACCGCTCCGATTGTCTCTTCATCGTGCGGCGAGTCTTCAATCGGTGGAAAGCGCACCGCCCGCTGGTCATCATGATATAACGAAAAAAGCAACGAAACGGAATCACAAAGGCGAATCACCGTCGGAGAAACTTGGACGAGGAGAAACGAGCGAAGAAACGTCATCCAGTCAAACACAAAATTCCCAGTATAATCCGTCTCAACCATCGCCAAGAACACCGTCCAGAGCAGAGTCCTGTCAGAGTGCACTGCGATGGCCGTCACCGAAACCGAGGCCACATCTGACATCCGTTACGATGGAGAAGTGGTGTTAATTAGAGAAGAATTGTTGTGAACGATACGTTCGAATTCGATCAAACTCAACGAAACCGTATTTTTAAGATATAACGGCGATTATGAACAATCGAAGATCTCTACTGGTTAGGAAAGTATTTTAACTTACTAAGCTTTTAGGCTATACATGTGTAAATACAGTTTGATATTTGAAATATTTTAAGAAGACTGAGTCACTCAAAAAGAATGTTTTTTACTCTTTTATTCGGTACTTTTAGATATTGAAGAAACGTATACTGTTTATTAATTACTTTCGTTTCTTTTAACGGAAATTACTCGGTAAGACATCCTATCGTAGGAGGCTCAAGAATCGGTATGTAAAGATTTCATCCAGCTGAATAAGAGTTATTTTCCAATTTGCGTTTATACAGGAAAATTATGGCTGGAACATAATGAAATCAAGATTTCTTTTAAATGTCTCAGTCTAATCTACCTAGATAACCATTGGCGTGCAGATTGGCAACATATTGGCAACAGATTGTGACGAAATCTATCTATAAATCCATAGCCATGTATTTTCGCATTTGGTTTAGGTTTTGCAAACGGAGCCTGCTGACAGAATCGTAAAGCAGATTGGCGGCAGATCCTGCAGCCTAACCTAGAGTAACTATCCTAGATCAGTTGACAACCTAGGTTATGTTGCAGTATCTGCCGCCAATCTGTGCGTAAATTGTTTATAGCAGATCCTGCATCAAATCTGTAGCTCCTCTGGTTACAAAAGCTTATAACAGGCATTGGACAAAATCTGGCTGTGCAGGTTTAACTGACTGTGTAGGTAGAGGCAGTGAACTGTTTCATTTACGTCTGTGTCCCCTGTAAAACCAGTCACTGAGCTCCCTACTAAAGTTAAAGTGCAAATTTCATACGTTAAAGTAAATATAGCACTTGATAATAAGATTTATAGGTTATCATAAATGTTTTGTACAAAGTATGTTGAACATACTCATAAATTTAAATCAGCGCAGTTCACCGATTTCTTTTTGCAATTTTGTTCCTCTCCTCATCATTTTTTGATTGTATAAATTCGCATATGTAGAACTGCGTCTCTAGAAATGTAGTTAAAAGACTAATGGCGGCAAAGTAGAGGAGTCAATGATGATAAAGTGGGAAAAGTTCCCTAATCGTTGCAGCTTATATAGGATAGCGCTGATTTAACATATAGTAATCTCCGTGATAATGCAAACGAGTCTCTCTCGCAAAGTATAACGAAGTTTCTCCCTGTCCTTGTAATATCCCGCAACAATTAGATCCGTAGTTTATGTGGCAGCAGTCATTTGTTGGTCACTTATAGCAATGAACTGCAGATCGCGACTGGCGTGATGTTTATGAACAAATATTTCCTTTTTTCCACACCGTATTCGACAAATATTCGCAAAAATTAGTCAACATTCGCCTACGAATGTATGGAGTGTGCGTTAAACACGCATTTATAAACAATTTGCAAGTACCGGCAGTGCAACTGAAGACGAGCAATTACGACCGCGCGTTTTTTGAAATTACAGTCATCAAAGTATCATGCAGATATACACATACTAGATAAGTTTGGTTCGTAAGTCTTCAGTCCTAGATACACAGTTGTAAACATTTTATTCGAATCTCTTTCAAGTATTAAAGAGAGTAATCAGTATATTCTTTGTCGGCATCTACGCTGTTCCTAGGTAGGTTATGAGACCGTAAACATACTAAAACTTCAAACTGTGTCGTGTCTGTATATACATGCTGATCTCCAAGTTCAAGCAAAACGCTGCAAAGATCGCGCTATCTAAGCAAATAAACAGAACTAGAGTATATTTGAACGAAGCAAGCCGTTCGCGTTCGTGAAGAGAACACGATCACTTTGATGTGGCTATGTCTACATAATATATTGATCATGGTTCTAATCAACGTGTCATGTTGTCTGTACATGCTCTTAATCTTGCTCAGTTGTGAAACGTCCAGTGTTATAGTAATTGCCATTGTGTTCCTCCCACCAAAAGTGCAAACGTTCGGACCCACGTTTTCCACTTCGTCGGAGACTACTGTATCGAGTATTATTACGAATATAAGAATGAACCCCTGCTTTGTATTTGAGAAAAATTGATTCGGTAAAGATATATAAGTAATGTGAAATTTAAAAAATTTTTTCTAATTGCTAGTCGAAGTGTGAGTTAGCGTAATACGATGATATATGAATGTTTAGTAATACACGTACGTATGTATTATAGAATGCACTTATGCATTTAAAACCTTTGCGTCGTAATATATACATTACATGTATTACTTTTAACACTTTACAGCTCTCTTACAAAGACGAGCTAGAAGACTATTCATCTGTAACAAACTGCTAGTGCCATCTACTATTCCCAAATGAGTTATTCCAATTTCCTGAAATGAAGAAATATAAATTTGCATTTCATTTATGCCATGAAGGAGCACTTACTTAAATAAGTACTTGAACATTACTTCAACTTACTCTTACAAAATCTAATTTTAGTGTTTCTTCAATTGAAAGGTTTTTACAAACTCTGAATATGTTACTAATTAAATCTTCTGCTGAATATCCCATTTTCCATAGATGTTCCATTACCTAATCATACATTTAATATTATTACATATAATATCATGAAAATTCATAAAATATTATTTGGAGTTCATACCGCGTATGCTTTCGAAATATTTGTTTGTGTACAAAATTCAAGCATTTCTTTAACAAGCAGTGGGTGGGGTTCATCACAAACTTTAAAAACATTTTCACTATTTACATGGCCAAAACCATTGAATGTTGACTGTAAATTATTCAATGCCTGTCTCATGTCCCCTTGAGCAGTAAACACTATTGCTTCTAAGCCATCATCTGTATATGAAATCTATTCAAATGAAATTTAAATAGTTGATGTAGTTGAGTAGTATTATTATTGTACTGTTGTTCAAAGAATAGTAGTATTATTTCCTTACATTTTCTTTTGCGCAAACTTCAAGAACTTTTGTCAGCACTTGTGCATCGGATAATTTTCCATATCTCAACATAGCACAACGTGATTGTATAGGTTCAATGATTTTCTCGCTATTATTACAAGCTAATGCAAATCTGGTTGTATTACTATATATCTCCATTGTTCGCCGCAATGCCTGTTGTGCACCATCTGTCATGCTATCAGCTTCGTCTAAAATTATTATTTTATGTTTTCCTTTTGGAAGATTTACCTAGTTTAGAACAAACATAAAACATTTACTATAAAATTACATATGTAGTAATTATACATCATAAAACATATTAAACATAGGTACCCTTTTTTGAGCAAACATTTTGATCTTATTTCTAACAACATCTATTCCTCTATCATTTGAAGCATTTAATTCCAACACTGCATCTTTAAAAACTGGTCCTAATAAAATACGTGCTAAGCACAAAATCGTTGTGGTTTTCCCAACACCTGGAGGTCCAGCAATAATGATGTTTGGACAGTTTCCTTGTTGAGCAAAGACAGAAAGTCTGGACACTGTGTCTTCATTGCCAACTATATCAGAAAACACGTGTGGACGATACTTTTCAATCCTAAACAAAAGTTTTAATTTTATCTTACCATTTTTGTTTACACAGTAAATAGTTTTAAATAACAAAAACTTAACCTCTAGTTTAACCCTTAATAATATACACATAACGTTCTTACTTCTAATAACATACCATGGTAAATGTACAAATTTCGCATTTCTTTCTTTACTTTTTTCATTAAAATTGCTTGTCGATGGTAAAATCTCTATGTCCATCGACTCAACGCCGGTTGTTTCGCTTGCCATTTTCAAAATTTATGCGAATTTATGGTTCAAATAGTTTGAAACGCGGGAGAACAAAATTTTATATCTATAAGCATAAATTAGTGGATAACATAGAAAAGCAACTTCCTATAGTTTCTGTGTCCATGTTAGCGGGAAGTGATATAGTCGATTCGCATAATAAATAGTCGGTATTACAGAAAGGATTTGAGTACAGTAGACATTCGTTTATTTTAACTTTCGAAGCTGTAGAAAGTCAAATTTCCAAGAATGATATAATAAACGAGGACCAATCACCCGCCCGCTTTGCCCACCAATTGTCTGTTCACTTGTCGACGTAGCAACATACAGGGTGGGTTACATGTATGCACTTTTTGATGATCTTAATTATCTCCGTTATTTTTAGGGATGCCAAAAACTTGATTTACAAAAGTTGTTTAGTATTGAGGGTGCTATTACTTAGCAGTAACAATTTTTTCGTAGTTGGAAAATCTTCTGAAATGTAAAGGTTAATCATGTTTTCTTTTTTTCATTATGTATGCTGAAATAATTGTGGAATAAAAATATTTTTTTTACGCATATCGATTTTTCTAAACATTCTGCGTAATAAAATATTAAGATATTATGTGAAAATTCAATATTTAATCAAAATTTTAAATATTTCACGAAGTGTTAATTTTTTCTCGACCTATAGCAAAATTATTTTCTTCTTTTTTAACGTAGAATCACCCCTTGCTTGTTTGTACTACGATTTCCGGCCCTCCCTGTATTATGGTCCGTCTAGTACTATATAACTTTTGTGAATAAACTTGTTTTTATGCTATAGAAATAATATTATTTTATACTTTTTCACTTACGTATATGTACATATACTTATATTCAATATGAATTAAGCATGGTCGAAATGTAGTTGAGTATAATCAAAAATATCTAAAAACATAAAACATTTTATTAGGATAATAATATACGTATACACCACACTTTCTGTGATGAAGAATATGCAAGTTAAACGCGACACGGTTTGTATTGCGTTCCTTTTTCACTGGGCGGCAAAGTGGGGTGCGCGCAAGTGTGTGAAAAATACGTGTAAGCGAGGGACGTTTCTATGCTACAATAAAGTAGCTGCAATAAATGAGCTTCTCCTGTATCGATCTTTCACAGAATACTGCAGTATCCCTGGAGAGGTCGCTAGCGTCGTATGAATTTTTCGTGAGACCTCGTAAGATTGTCTCCCTTTTATAAGTATCTCGTCGGTGGTTTGCGGAATGAGAATCCAATATGGCAGCCGTCGTGATATCTGCACAAGTCAGTGTCGCGGAAATGTTTTGAACTCGTTGAGTAATCGTGACAACCGGTCGACATACTACGCATAGGTTAGTAGGGTGAAACTACGTATCATTCGTGGTTTCGTTATTCCATTTAAATCGATCGATTTGTGTCAGGAAACCGGGCTTTCGTAAACATCCTTTTTCTCGTTGAATTGAATCGTTATATACCGTCGGTCCGCAGTAACGTTTCAATGCAGTCATAGGTTACCTCGTTCTCGTATCCCTCGAATTCAAACGCGGGTCACATTCAGCGACAATTCGGTACTTGTCTTCGTTCGTTTTTGAAGGAACGCGACATCCGTTTCGCGATTGTATGTATGATATGCGTATACGTTTTTCGTAGCGAGGGTGTGTGCATGTGCGTGTCAGGTGAGTGGATGCAGCCGTGATGTATGAACGCGCGTGTACGTTAAATGTTTCCGAATTGTCGTGTATCTTTTCTGTCAAAACGTACGTCGGTTGAGTGTCGCGCGTGTATGGACGTTAAGAAAGAAGTCTGGTTAAGTGCATCTTTGACACATCTCGCCATGCTGCATGAACAGCATGGTGCCACGATCTACCATCTATTGAACAATTCTCTTGGCAGCAACATTTGGTGAGTTGATATAACATTTCTTTAATACTGTATTATCTATCTGTCATTCTTTTGTTAATTAATTGATAAAATAAGACTGATATATGTTTTCGAATGTTTCGTCCGTTCATGTTATTTAATGATTGAGAAACACGAATTAATTTCAAATACGTCATGCAGTATTTCGCTTAACTTTCATTGAAGGTAGTTATCAGTGGTTAGTAATTATTATCGAAGATTATTTTAGGTAAATACGTATATTGCATAAGCTCACGGAAATGTCGTTCTATTTATTTCACTATACCGATAATCATTTCCGGTTGTTCTTGAAAGATATTGGAATGCAGATAGAACGTGATCCTTTAGGCACGTTCAACATGTCCTTAAGAATATTTTTACAGTTGAGCAGTGTTACTTAAACAAAATTATTTGTTCGCTTAGATAGCGATAGCTTACGTAATTCATTATTATAGAATCATAGGTCATTATCGATTTATTAAAATGCATTTATGCTACTTTGTTTATCTTCAAAAACAATGAGGTTACCTAAAAATTATTGCTTGAATTAAATTATTAGCTATTGAAAATGAAAAAGTCATATGTATAAACGAACAAAATGTTTATGTTTATTTGCGTGATTCATTTCTAGGAACATATTTCTGTAATTATAAGATTTGTTAGTATTTATTTGGATACTGTGTAATGAAAGGCGAGTTTGTAGTCCACTAATCACACCATTCACGTGCATAGGGTTGCTTTGCTTAACCCTCGCTTGTCGGTGGTTGGTTTATTCGACATGTGATACGCAAACCGTTTATGTCACTGCGAAACAATTCGAGATTGTTTCCACGAAGTAAATTTCTTATGCAGGGTGTCCTATAAGTCACTTTACCAGTTACAAATATAATAACTTCACTAAATAGAGATATTTTAAATGAAAAAATTAATTAAACTTGTAAATCATAAAATGGCTTATAGGCCACCCTGTATGAATGTTCTATGTGAAACTTGAATGAAAAACGTAACAAATTATTATTTAGTAATGGTAAACGGGCTGCTATGTTAATCGGTTTATCGCAGATGTAAATGTAAATTCAACAGTTTATTAATTAATTTAATTGAACGGGAATAAAACCGGGACATATTTCTTTTATGAATTTTGCTAGAATCTTTATTTTATTATATTTTGCACATTTACATAGTCATCGAAAACACTAAATTCGTATAATTAATAAATAAATGAAATAAATTTCTTTTGTTTCTTATACACTGTTTTGCAATTTCTTACACTCGCAAAATTGGAAACAGCGAGTAAAAAACAAAGGATAGTATTTAGAAGGTATATTATCGATTATCTTTTGAAATAAATTTCCATGTATTCGTGACTGTTTTTAAGATATTGATTATAGTACCATGCATCGCTGCAAATAATTTATTGTAAGTTCAAAAACGAACAAATTATTATTGGAAAAAAAATATTTTTATTAGAAAAAAATTCGAACTTTTTTTATTATTCGTTTTCCTAAATAAATTAGTTGAATTCAGTACAAAGCATAAAAAAGAAGGTTAGTATAGTATATAAATATATATAAATATTATCATAAACATACCAGCATTTTTGCAATTTTGATAACTGTATAAATATTGATGTATAATATTGCGATATATTTATATATTTATGTTTCTGTACGGACATTATACAAATATATGAAAATAATACATAAATATTATCACAAACCTATCAGTATTTTTGCAGTTTGATAATTATTTATAGTAAGTAACTGAAATGAAGGCTTCCATAAAATTGTTAGGAATCTAACGCTTCAAACTCCCCGGACTACCTTACTGACAGTAAATAAACAATATTTACATGTACCTATAATTTTTATGTGCGCATTGCTAAATAAACATTACTGTTTGTGTTTACATCCAACGTGAAAACAATATTCGCAGAATATGATATACAAAACCATCTATAGTTCGAAAACAATATCAGGTATGACCCGTATTCGTCTTGACTTTTTTTTATTTTTATTTACTGAATAAATTCTGTTAAAACGCATGTCTATTAACAGACAGACGCCTTCTACTGTATGTGTACAATACCGCGTGAAGAATGTTATAATTGATCCATTCATAGGCCAAAGTGACTAATTTTTGGAATTTTTTCAAATTTCAGTGCCAAAGTACTTGGTTCATGCTAAACATTGTATAAGTTAAATAAATTACAACTTACTGTTTTGTGGAGTTAATCATTTCGGGAAACAAAACGACACAATGTTGTCGAAAGAAAACACACGAACCTGGTATTTTCTATATTTTCTGAATACTGACAGAATAAACATTCCTGTTATTTATATATTTCTTTAACTGTTCTTCTGTTTCTGCGAATATCATGTACATACATACATACAGAGTGTTTACGCTATTACTAGCCAGCGTTTTTCGCACGAGTAGTAAGTATTAAAAAAATGAAATAGCAAAAACGTTTGCAGCTCTCTATGACGAACATAATAACGTTTATCAATTTTTTTATGTTCGCAATATTTCTTGAGAATCGGTGACCTTTAATTTTTTAAACGAATTGTATATTTTTTTAAGTCGTGTGAAAGTATGTGTCGAGACGAATTTATCAAAGTGTTACAGAATGACCTTCAAGGTCATACAAGTTCAGAAACGAAAGAAATATTTTGAATATTTCGTACCAATGGGTTTACAGTTTACGAGTATTTTTTATTGACAAGGCCACAGTAGATTTCCTGTTCATGAATGTATATTTCAGTGGAATTATGTTTTTGGTAGCTTTTGCTAATGTTATCCGAGACATTAACCCTTCAATGACAAACTTGGGTCACTTGTGCCCCATACTTTAATTCTACGCTAAAACACAGGCCAAAACTTTTGATGAAACGTTTATACAAGATTTATGAGGGTAAATGCATATGATTGTGTTATGTTGCTTTTCAAATTGTTTATCTGTAACAGTTCCTCATAAAAAGAAATCCAGAGGTGTAGTTGCAGAAGTAAACACTCTTATAGTAAATGAAAACAGAAAATCAGTCTCATTTAACGAGCTAAGCTAGATCAGTGAGAAATACCTGTAAACATATAGGTACGAAATA